CAATATCAGTTTGCACCGCCATTTTTTGCTCCACATTTTCCCATCTTTACCTTCACCTTCTCCACTACACACTCCACTTCACCTAACCCACTATCACCTCCACTACACCTACTACCACATTTTCTTCTATATATAGATTGTATAGGAATTGTAATTAATCAATCTTGTAATACATCAATACATCAATCAATCTTTACCTTCACTTACTCCACTACACACTCCACTTCACCTAACCCACTATCACCTCCACTACACCTACTACCACATTTTCTTCTATATATAGATTGTATAGGAATTGTAATTAATCAATCTTGTAATACATCAATACATCAATCAATCTTTACCTTCACTTACTCCACTACACACTCCACTTCACCTACCTCCACTTCACCACACACTCCACTTCACCTAACCCACTATCACCTCCACTACACCTACTACCACATTTTCTTCTATATATAGATTGTATAGGAATTGTAATTCATCAAGCTTGTAATACATCAATCAATAATATCAATCATCAATACATATTTCATTCTCTCTATTTTTCCATACATCAATTTTAACAGAAAGTTCAACTAACTCATATAAAAGGATACAGCTGTAGCTCTAGCACTTAATTTTGCACTGTCCTTGCAGTTGTCTAACTGTTGGTCAAGGAGCTCATCTTCAATGAGCTCTGATTTGCTAACAAAAACTGAAACATACTGATGCAGTGTTGATAAACTCATCTGACTTTCTTGAACTTGAACCAATAGTCTTCCAATAATGCTCCAAAGTGCACTTCTCGCTTCAATATCATCCGAAGCAAAAGGAAATACATCAAACAGGCCCTGTAAGAAAGACAAGTCTGGATGGATCTGACTGTCACTGCTTATTCTCAAACAATTTTGATGATGACAACACCAAATAAGTAAACTGGCAATACTATTGCAAGAGATTTTACTGATTGGAGCACTTTACCTGGTGATATCTCCAATGCTAGATCAGCTACATCAGTAAGTATATTAGCAATTAGAACAGCAGCAGTAACACAAGAGTTGGCAACCTGCAGAGAAAGATCCTACCATTTAAGTGCTTGCAAAATTTCAGTGCCATTCTTTCTTATCAAAGTATGAAAACAAAAGTCATATATGAAGTACTAGCTTCATAGAGTTGCTTTGTGACAACCATCTGTTTCACTCCCCTCTTTTCACATCACTCCCCAGCTGCATTTAACTTGAGGTGACTTCCACAATATTTTCATTTCTTTTTTTATTTCTTATTTTTGTTGATTAGCATATGTATTAGTATTAAAATAATAAAAATAAAATAAAAACAAGGTGATGAACCCTTCTACATAGGGACATATAAAAAAGTAAACTCGGGTTCATATGCAATGGACTATCAATACAAGGATTTGCACTCCCACATACCCACACGTATAATTAACTTAAAAACTTATTATTCAATGGCTGAACAGTGATCAACACTCCTTTAGAAGACAGACCTTTCACACCCTCCAGACTTGCACCACATCAGAGTGGAACCATAAGCCAGGCCTTCATTCTCCTCTTCAGAATGATACACCTCTCCCCAGCTACCTAAGAATCATCAACTGACAAAGAAAACAACCAAAAACACCAAAAGCTACCAGCTCAAGAGCCAAAAGTTCCCTCAAAAGCTCTCTCATGGTGCTACAATGGATAAACATGTGAACCGATATTCGCCTGACCACAAACATGCAACACTAATTCAGGACAGGATAACCTTCCTTTTATCAATCAAATTATCAATATTAAGGAGCCAACTCACAACCCGAAAAAGCAACCGTATACCTTGACTTTCAAATCCCTTTCTAAGGAAATGAAGTGCCACTTGTACCCATCAGTATCTAATAATAGAATTTAATCATTTAACCACAAACTTTCAATTGCTAGCACTCTATCCAAAACTTGTAAGGGAAAAGAAAATGCAGAACGGCTTCAACACCTACACGGGAAAGTACTATAACTTTTTGCTAATTGAGAAATTTCTAAATATATTTCGAACAGAAGAGAAGCATTACAAGAAGCAGCCACATCATGACTGCTCGCCAAAAACTAATCATTTATTTAATTTAGCTTAGTGGTAAACAAATAATATATGATTCAGGTTCTTGAATTGTTGATCAATTGAAACTTTAACAAATCCGTAAATCATTAACCAGGAACGCGAATTAGAAACAGCACCAACTTGGATTTATAGAAAATCGACAAATTCATAGGCATACAAATGCAAAATCACAAACATGTTTAACATCTATATACCATACATAGGTAGATATATACATAAATACACATACATACATTTTCTGAAAAAAAAACTGCAACGTACCTCATGCAAATGCAAAATCACAAACATGTTTAACATCTATATACCATACATACGTAGATATATACATAAATACACATACATACATTTTCCGAAAACCTGCAATGTACCTCATGCAAATGCAAAATCACAAACATGTTTAACATCTATATACCATACATATGTAGATATATATACATAAATACACATACATACACTTTCCAAATAACTGCAATGTACCTCAATTTTGTCAGGGAATTTGACCAGGTCAATGAGTAGTTGAAAAAGTTCCTTGTTAGAACTGACTTCTTGTGAGTAATCATCAATGACAGAGAGAGCTTCAATTGACCGAAGAATTATATCAAGAACACAGTACCTGAAATTGCATATTGTTAAACATCAGGAAAAAAAGAAATATGATTCGTTACTAAGAAAGGTTTTTTTTTTTTTTTTTTTTTTTTGATAACCAGGTATCCGGCCTATTGGACCGACTCATCCAGGAGACTAATCCCACCGCCCACTTGCGAGGGTCACAATTAAAGCCAAGGCAAAGCCCTGTATTAGTTACTAAGAAAGTTAACATCTACAACTAGGTAGATGAGTTATCCCACCTAGAAAATCGTACCAAACTATTGTAGCACAATAGACCACACAATACAGATATACTAATTTTGGTACACATCTCTAACAAAACCCTTAATTCCTAAGACAGTTCCGTACTTTCTCTATTTTCCTTGGTGTAAAATCATGATTACATGCCATTATATACACAAATGCAGCCAGAAGCCCCTAGAATAGGACATGCCTTAGAAGTTAGAAATCAAGTTATTAGAGCAGAAGTGGTGGTTGAGAACATGTTAGGATAAATCAATTCTAATAATACATCTTCGTAATACACTACTATGCAATTCAATTAATTTGGAGGTGCAAACTTTCAAACTACAATTATAATGTTTGTTTTATCATGCAACATTTTGAATTTAAGTATACTAAACATTACATGAAGCTGTTTTGAAAACCAAAAATAAAGGATTAGTAATGAAAACAATATATTCAGGGCAGCTACATCAGCAAATAATTTGAGCCTAAGAAGCACAAACAGCCAACAAGGCAATCAAAGGTCAGATCGATGACTGATGAAACATCATTCTCTTTCAAATGTTAAAAGGATATTCATTCAAACCCACACGGTCACGGCCACCAGTGGTTGTGGAAATTGCAGAGTTTAAATATGGTTGCAATAACACCATAGACTGATAACTTGGGAAGTGCTTGCACAAAACATATGCAGCTCATAGTGGAAGGGAGATTTCAGCCTACATCGTATATATAAAGGCAAAACATCATCTTTACCTTTCAGGTACTCTTTCTCCTGATAATTTGCTTGTCTCAAAAGTTAAGAGATTAATCAGAAGACTTGGAAGACCCAACTGCATCAAACTTGGAAGTAGAGTAGCAACAACCTCCTGCTCACTTTCTAAGATGGCTAACAGTAGCCCCACACTCTGGTCAGAAAATAAATTCTATTTCAGAGTATTGAATACAATAATGATCAATAATTTCAATCCAGTCTTGCCAATAATAAGAAAAATTAGAACCATAAGGACACAAACAGAGAGAAACGGACATAAACATAGAGAAACGATTACTGAAGTAATCCTAACTTCTTAATTTGGTAGAAATGACAAATTTCAATAGCAAAAAATAGTAATACTAAATAAACAAAAAAGGGCAGCCTAGTGCACGATGCTCCTAGCACTACCGATTTTGAGAAGAGTCAAATGGACACAATCTTACCCTCGTATGCGGAGGAGTTGTTTCTGTGTTTAAGAAACTGTAACAATATTTATGATTATACCAATAATGGAACCCCTTTTAGCAATTCTCATCTCATTAATGACCATGAAAAGAAACTTCAACTAACTGCAGTTACACCCAACATCGTATTGGAGTCAATATAAAGCCAAAATTTTACGCAAAGACAGCAATTAATTTAACCAAAATATTCAAAAACGAACCTTCACCACACCATCTTCCAGTAGATCCCTTCATTTAAAAAATTAATCAATATTTCACCTCATTATTATATTCACTAAATATGACCTCATAGCTTTGATATAGACTACCAGATCATTGCTACAGAAAACTTTATGCAGAAGTTGAATAACAATATTTTCTCAGTCTGTTAACCCTTAAACCAAGCCCAGTGTTTGAATGTTTAATATAAGACATCAAATCATTGCTAGTGAAAACTTTATGCAGAAGTTGAATAATAACACTTTCTCAGTCTGTTAACCCTTAAACCAAGCCAAATGTTTGGATGTGTAAACAAAAGGATGAAAAGAATTGTTTTGACTTACCTATGAATGAGGTAGAGCCTTGTATTTATAATAAAACAATATTACAAAATAGGAAACGAACAAAATAGGAAACGACGATAAAAAAGGCATTAAATCTATGATTGACACAATCACAGATTTTATACACACTACCATAATTACAATCGTCACTATTTCCTAATTTAACACTACCATAATTATAATATCACTATTTCCTAATTCCAACACTCCCCCTCAAGCTGATGTGAAGATATTCAATAAACGCAACTTGCCAATAGACGATTGGAGTAATATTGGGCCTACAGACTTGGTGAACATATCTGCTAACTGCTGAGAAGATGAGACAAAGGATGCTCTCACAATACCAATCTGAACCTTCTCTTGAATGAAATGTATATCAACCTCTATATGCTTAGTACGCTCATGTAGAACAGAATCAAAAGACAGCATAATAGCAGACTTATTGTCTCAAAACAAAGACGCAAGAACAGTCTCCTCAAATCCCAACTCTACCAAAAATAGAACGTAGCCATAGAATCTCACAAGTGCCTTGTGCCATAGCCCTATACTCAACTTCTGCAAAAGACCTAGAAACAGCTGTTTGCTTCTTACTTTTCCATGATATAAGATGATCACTATAGAAAGTACAAAAGCCAAAAGTAGAACGCATATCCATTCTAGATCCTGCATAGTCAACATCAGTAAAACAAGAGAGTCCAGATTGAGGATCAGCTTTGAAGAACAATCCCAAGCCAGGAGAGGTCTTCAAATATCTCAAGATGTGATGAACCACATCAAAATGTTCTGCACAAGGTGCATGCATGAATTGGCTAACCACACTAACCGCAAATGTCAAGTCAGGTCTAGTATTAGTCAGATAGATGAGATGCCCAACAAGATGCTAATATATGCCTGGGTTCTCTAGTAATTCGTCAAAATTTGATGTAAGCTTGACATTGGGATTCATAGGAGTAGAAGCAGGTTTACACCCCAACATACCAGTATCCTTAAGTAAGTCAAGAGTGTGCTTCCTTTGAGATAAGGAGATTCCTTACCGTGAGCAAGCCACCTCAATCCCTAGAAAATACTTGAGATTTCCCAACTCCTTAATATCAAAGGTGTGTCCCAAATCCTGTTTTACTTGATCAATGCCTATAGAGTCATCACCGGTGAGAATGATATCGTCCACGTAAACCAACAAGACTATACACTGACCTGTAGAATTACGACGGATGAAGCACGTATGGTCTGAATGGCACTGAACAAAGCTCATGGAGATGATGACTGAGCTGAAACGACCAAACCAAGCTCGTGGAGACTGCTTCAAGCCATACAAAAACTTGCGCAATCGACATACTTTCCCCGAATACTCCCCCTCAGCTCGAAAACCAAGAGGAGGGGCCATATAAATCGTCTCAAGAAGATCCCCGTGTAGAAAGACATTCTTGACATTAAGCTGATGAAGGGGCCAAGAATAGGATGCGGCAAGAGAGATGAGTAGACGAACATATGTAAGCTTGGCAACAGGGGCAAAGGTTGCACCAAAATCCTTGCCAGGAACTTGAGTGAAGCCCTTGGCCATTAAGCGGGCCTTATAACAGTCAATGGAACCATCAGGTAAGTACTTAATAGCAAAGACCCATTTGCAACCCACGACACTCTTGCCAGAAAGTAAAAGAACCAAATCCCAAGTATAATTGTGTTCTAAAGTTGCCATTTCAGTCTGCATGGCCACCACCCATTTTGGATTCTGAAGGGCCTCGGACATAGACCGAGGAATAGACTTGGACTCAAGCCTGCCAAGGAAAGAATGATATAAGTCTGAAACCCTGGCATATGAGAGAAACTAGGAAATGGGATGATCAATACTACACAAATAACCCCAACGGTTGGGTGGATGTCGATCCCGAGGAGGATTAAAACGAAGAAGGGAAGGAGATGTATGTAAAGGGGAAGAATTACCTGACCCAAGAGCCGAAGAGGTAGCAGGAGGGGGCTGAGAATGAGGGCAGCGAGAGTATACCTGTAAGGGAGGCGAAGGAGGCAAAGGTGGAGGATGAAGGGGGGACAACCTCGTCTAAAATGGGGACCGGGCGAACACTCGGAGTATCTGAAGGGGAAACCTGTAAAGGGGGGTTAGGACTAAAAAAAAGGAAGATCCACACAAAAGTAACATCCAAAGTGTGGTGAAAATGATGAGACACGGGATCAAAACATCTATATACTTTAGATATGGAGGAATATCCCAAAAAGATATAACGAATAGACTTGTCATCTAACTTAGTGCGAGTGGGACGGCGGTCCTAAACAAAACATGTACACCCAAAAATACGAGGTAAAAGAGGAAAAAGTATAGTATTAGGCATAAGAATATGGAATGGGGTAAGGCCATGTAACACACGACTAGGAGTCCTATTAATGAGATAGATAGCAGTAAGAACAACCATATGCCAATAAGACTTGGGCACACACATACCACGAAGAAGACAACATACGGCAGATATAATATGACGGTTTTTACGTTCAGCCACACCATTTGTTCAGCGGTCCGAGGACATGTAAGTTGTTGAAGAATACCCGTTCAATTAAGGTGGGAACGAAACTCGTTGGAGATGTATTCCCCACCATTATCAGAGTGGATGTTCGTAACAACTATATGAAATTGTGTCTTAACCATTTGCAAAAACTGAATGAATATAGGAAACACATCAGACTTGCGGCAAAGTAAATAAAAGCAAGTGCACCTAGTGTGATCATCAATAAAAGTCACATAATAACGATGACCCGAAAAAGCAAAAACAAGAGAGGGGCCTCAAACATCAGAATGAATAAGGTCAAAAGCACTGGGAGCCCGTGTCATATGTGGTATATAACTAGTACGGATATGTTTAGACAACTCACAAGTAACACAATGAAATTTAGAATCTTGCAAGCTTTATTTAGTAAAAGGAAAAGTTAACATAAATATTAAAAGTTAACATGACCCATACGAGATAACTCTAAAGTTTAAATAGAAAAAACACAAGATATAGAAGCAGGCAAAATAAACGCCTGAAAACTGGCTAAAGTCGAAGGCTGGTCCAGTGGATCCCCAAAGTAATATAGCCCGTCGTGCTCATATCCCCTGCCAAAAATCCTCTCAGGTCCTGTAAAAGACATGAAGAAGGAAAGAAGATAACAGTGCAGTTAAAGGTTTTGGCAAGACGACTAGCAGATAAAGGATTATAAGCAAACTTGGAAACATGCAACACAAAAGATAAAGTGATAGTAGGGGATAAAGACAAAACATCCTAATGTTGGACAAAGAGCAAGAACTATCAACAAGACACACAGATGAGGCGACAATTATGGGTTCAGGAGAGGAAAGAAAAGAAAACTCACCAGTCATATGATCAGTAGTCCCAAAATCCAGAATACATGAAGGACTAGCAGACCAAACATGGAAAGCAATAGAAGTACCTATAGCAAGGGTGGCAGTACAGGAGGATGGACCAAGAGAACCAGTGGTGAGAGACCCAAGTTGAGCCTGAAGCTGACCAATCTGAGTCTGTAACTGCTGTAGATTAGGGACATTAGGAGGCTCAGAAGCAGGAGTAACTTCCACCAAAGTAGCAGTGTGAGCAGAGCCAGAACCATGTGGAACAGGACCACGGGGACAGAAGGGCGTCGCCTCAACTTATGATGAAGTTTGACATGTCCAGGCACACCACAATGATGACAAGTAACAAAACCGGTGGAACTTCGAGAACTAGAACTCGCAGCAAGAGCCATCTGATCTGCTAAAACTGGAGAAACTGAAGAAACACTAGGCTGAACCAATCGTTGGCGACACTAATCACTGTCAATAGTTGCAAAAGCTTCATAAAGAGATGGCATGGGTGATGTGTTTAGAATCTGAATTCGAAGAGATTCAAATTCAGAGTTTAAACCCATGAGAAACTGATAAGTATGCTGTCGGGCAAACCTCTTGGATACAAGGGAGGCGGCTGCTGATGGAAGGTCAGTCAAAGGCTCATATTGAGCAAGTTCCTCCCAACGAGCCTAAAGATATCCAAAGAATTCAACAACCAGAAAGGCCAAGAGAGGACTGAGAGGCCCGGGTATGATTGTGAGCATCATTGTGAGCATGAGCGTACATTTGTGACAATGCCAGCCACAAACTTGAAACTGTATCGCAATAAAGGAACATATGACAAAACTGATAAAGCTCAAAGTTACGGGCATCATTGTAAGCATGAGCGCACATTTGTGACAATGCCTGCCACAAACTCGAAACTGTATCGCAATAAAAGAACATATGATAAATCCGATCTTCCATGGAATTGAACATCCATCCCAATATAGTGCAATTATCGATATCCCACTAAGCACGTCTAGGGGCTGTCGCAATTGGCAGGGTAACAATAGATAAAAGCCAATGGGCATTCCCCTTTCCCCCAAGATAGAGTTTAAGGGAACGGCTCCAAACAGTAAAAAATTTCCCATTCAACACTACACTCGTAATATGATGAACAGAAGTATGATGAGAAAAAGAAAAATCAAAACCAACAAGAATAGGTTTGGCGGTTACATCAGAAAAGACAATAAGAGATAGCTCGGTCATGGTGGAAGAATAGGGGCTAAAAAACACACAAAATCACAGCAACAATGGCTGAAATAATGCCAGAAGCCGGGAAAAACTCCATGGCCTATGAAGCATGGGTACTTTAAAAAACATGCCGTACCCGTACCGGGTACTTACCAGCGTACCGTACCTCGTATGGTACTTCTACATACGTACCGGGTACACGAAACACGTATCCAAGTTTTTTCTTCTTAATTTTTGACGTACCCAGACGTACCTAGTATATATCCAAGCCGTGCCGTACCGTACCGTACCTCCGTTGAAACAATATTTTCCTTCTACTACAAAAATAAAACTCATTTCATTAGATTTCTTTTTTAGTTTTTGTTTTATGCTTAGCATGATTTTAAAATTAAATTATGGTTTGTAAGTTGTTTAATATATTGACATTTAATTTTGATTTATACTTTTCATTTTGACATTAAATGTTAATTATAGGTTGGACCTTAACAAATTAAACCATTTAATTATTTTTTGCATTACTCTAAATTAAAAATAAATATTTTTTTACAAGCGTACCAAGCCGTACCCGTACCTTATTTTTTTTGAATTTTACCGTATCGACGTACCCGTATCGTACCAGTACCAGTACTCGTACTCGTACCTATGCATCATAGTCCATGGCTTATCCAAATAAATGCTACCGAACAAATCTGGTAGCCCAATGAATCAAGAGGACAGAAAAAAGGTGCCTAAAACATCAACACAACACCCCAAGAATGGGAAAAGGGACCCCAGACCACCCTAGAGGGTAGCCGAAGCACACAGGACCAGAACAAAGTCTGGTCAACAGCAAATAGAGCCTCTGCAAGAGTGTAAGAGACCTGCCGAGGGAAAAACAGGGAAGAAGAAGCGCTGTTGGGTGGTCTAGAAGGTGTGGGTAGGGCTGTCGGTGGCTGAGAGAGGAAAAAGAAGGCTAGCCGTGGTGATAGGTGGGACTGGGTAGTGCCGACAGAGGGAGAGGAGGGCTAGGGTGGCCGATCTTTGGCTCTGATACCAAAAAGGATGAAAAGAATTATTTTGGCTTACCTATGAATGAGGTAGAGCCTTGTATTTATAATGAAACAATATTATAAAATAAGAAATGAACAAAATAGGAAACGAAGACAAAAAAGGCATTAAATCTGTGATTGACACAATCACAAATTTTATACACAATACCATCATTACAATATTCACTATTTCCTAATTCAACACTACCATAATTATAATATCACTATTTCCTAATTCCAACATAAACTAGAATCCTAGCAATAATTTCAAGAGGATTGGTGTCGGTATTTTAATGTTTACATAAAATAGGTCAAGAACTCATATTCATAAGAACTAGATCATCAGCTCAAAAAGACAAAATGAAGATACAAGTGTCAAGTCAATCATCCAGATGGCACTCTGAACCAATCGTTGGCGACACTAATCACTGTCAATAGTTGCAAAAGCTTCATAAAGAGATGGCATGGGTGATGTGTTCTTCTCCCATGAAAATATTTTACAACTTCATTTCACCTATCCTTAACTCTTTTTTTAAAAATAATAATAATAACAAAACCGCCTATTTCATCATAGGATGCTGAGTTTTACATTACAAAGACAATGCCTGAATGAAACAATGATTGGTGTTTAATCCCTAAATAACCTCACTTTTCAAGTTACATGAAACCACCTCTTTTCCTTGCAAGTTGCCACCATCCCTATAGAATTTTGCCAAGAGATTTTACATACCCGATAAAAAAACAAAAGTATCACCAACAAACTCCTTGATGAAATCCAATCTTGGATGTTGTTTTTCAACCAGACTTTCAATATGCCATGTGTAGTTTGAACAAATTACAAGTAAAACTAAAGTTAGTTTTTTTTTTTTTCACTATATCGGAAAAGAAAAAAAATAATAATAATAAAAATAAATAAATAAAATAAATAAAGTTAGTTGACTCACTTGATTAACACATATTCTAAAGGAACCACTTTGTTGCCTTAGTCAATATCTGAAAGGCACAAGAGTCAAGGGCATGAGGATTCCACTACCCACTAATAATGAGATAAACTGAAAGTTTTGTTTTCACTAGACAACTGTAAAGCATGCTTCTAGGCACAGAATTTCAGGGAAAGTAAGGCAGAAGATGCCATAAGAGTAGTGAACTGAAATGACAAGATCAAAATGCAGATCATTAACAAAGGGGGTGTTTCTATATATTGTTAGGCAAAGTAAGGGGTGTTACATTTATTTCAAAAACGTAAGAGGGCATCTTTAAAAACTCAATAGGTGTTAGTGTAATTTCTCTTAAATTTACTTGCACTTTACATTCTGATGCATTTTAACAGATTTGTTAACATACTATGATTATTTCATTCCTACTCCAACTATGACTGACTTAAAATATGAAATTTTGATCCTTTTGAATAATAAGACTGTTTTAAACCTAATAAAGACTAAATAGAAGACCCAATAACATAATTTCAACCAATAAAAAAACCCATAGGTGACCCCTATAGCCTATGTCAGCAATTTATTAAATTACAAAATATCTCTAATTACTAAAACTTAATAGAAAGTCATTAACTTTATCCAACAGCATTCTAATATATAAATTACATGAAACCCTAGGAATACTTCATGAAGTTTTGCCCTTTTCTTATCACCATGTTCGTCATCATTAAGACAATGCACTGATGTGGAAAAGTTAATACAGTCACCCTCACACAGACACGTCGTTTGTAATGCCAAACTGTCAAGAAAAAAAAATTGAGTCGAATATTGTTTGCTACCTTTTCTATAAGCTGTGGATTTAAGGTGTTTTCTGCAACCCATAAAACACGGGATAGAATATTTTCCGGATGCAATGTTTTAGCCCAAGTAACACATCCACTACCTTGAAGTCCCAAAGTTAATACCCTGTCAAAATACTCAATGTAAGAAAAAAATTATTGTAGATCATAAAATGAGAGCCAAATATGATGCTACTTATCAACCATACATCATGTACTTTATCATGGAAACCTTTAAGACGGTCGTAAAGGAACAACAAATTCATTTGTGTATTACCGGTAAGCTTCACATAGGCAAGGGGTATCATCTAAAAACAACTGATCAACAATTACTTCAATCAGTCCATCTGTAGAGGCTATGTGTTTGCGAGGCACCTCATGGCATGCAAGGTTTCCAATTATTCCGAGGATAATTTCCTGAAAGGAAGCAAAGATAAATCTTAAGACAGCCCCTTCAGCACATTAGTTCTTTGAAGATGATCTTGAGCAGCTTTAATTTCATATAATACAAGACAAAAGGACCAAAGGTTAGGTGTGTACCCAATCTTTCCCCTCCCAAACACACATTAATGTGTACTAATTGGGCATTGTTTTTTTTTTACAAGACAAAGGACCTATTACAAATTACCAACAGCACAGAAATGCAGCTTACTGTGACACGAGCAGGTTGAGGAACCATTAGATTTTCCAAAAGCACTTCAAGGACAAGGTTTTGCACCTGCATAGCAATTGAAAACACAGGGTCAATTAAGACACCAAATTAGAGGTAAAAACTGTGGGAGCAATGGTAGATACAAGTTTGTAGATTATAGCCAAAACAAAATGCAAGTTGCACTCCAACACCAGTTGTAACCACACACATTCATTCTTTGGCCCGTGCATAAAATAGTTTTATCAAATTAATGTGAGGTGCTTTCTGAGAGAGAGAGAGAGAGGTATGTCACATTACAAAAGTTAAGAATATCACCGGCGAATACCAACCATCTTCCTCATAGTGCCAAAACTGGCCCAGCCTTAAATGAGACTAAAGCTAGCAAATTAGCAATTGTTATCTTGCTTTTTAAATTGCATGACTCTTCAGATTTAGTGTCTTATAAGAATTATTTCCATAAACAAATCAAATAAAAGTCAGATTCCATGAATAGCCAACTCAACAAATAGATCAGATACCAGAAACCTCTCCTGGAAGTTTATATGTAGTGATGCACAAATCCGTTCGAAATAAAAAAAGAACATGAAGCAGGTGTAACACAAAACCACAAACCATGAAATCGGCATGTGTTTTACTAGCTGCAAGGTCCCACAAAACACATCCACACTCTTCCCAAGCATGTTCTCCCACTGATCCACCCTGTTTTTCATGTAATCCATCATCTCCTCCATCATGATCAGTAAGTTCAGCAGTTTCCATCGCCTCAATTTCATTGCATTGATCATTCAGAACACCATTCCGGGACAGCAAGACCCCACTTTCATCCCTTCCATCAGCTTTTGATCCTTGAGAAGATGCATCATAAGCATCAACTTCAGGAGATTTATTACCATTCCTGCCATCTGGTGGTAGAAGTTTCCGTATTAAGGATATTATATAACTAGGATCAACTGTTGTTGAGATGTCAAAAAACTGCATGATAAAATCAAAAACCTCAGTATAAGCAGCCAAAATGAACGTCCATATAGAAGAATAGCTAAAGGACTTGGAAATAAATGTTATATACAGGTAAAGTTGGTATTTTCTGTACACGTATCTATGTTCTTATCATCTATACATTATGATTTGCATAACCAAAGTGTAATGAGAAAGAAGAACGAACTTTAAGAACTACTGCTAGTTTGTAGTTCAGATTGTAGACTCTGACCATGGCTGCTTTTCAACATCAGCTAAGTGGGATGCATAAGTGGCTGACACATCTATTTAACCAACAAAATAATCAATAATTTGATAGTATAAAGGACTGTTTGGGAAAAGTCTCAAAACTAGTTTTATTGGTTATACACTTGGTCTAAACTATTTGGACATAAGTTTGGCAACTGTGGGCAGGCCAAATTTCTCTGAATATGGGGTCATTCGCGGGAAGTGAGTATATGGATCTTGCGAGTGATATCTCGCCAAACCCCTTGAGCCCATGGTCCATAAAGTCCGAATAAGCCCACTTAGACCAAGGATTCATATTAACCAAATAGCCTTAATTTCCAAAACACACAAGTTATTGGATAATTTCCCGATAGCTAGTTCACAATGCATCCATTTGAATCAATTAACCACAAAGGCTAATAATGAAGACCGGAGGGCCAATTATATTCAATTATAAGGCCTTGCCCACCGCGGCGTGATCTAATCTCTTCATCCAGGTCCTGTCAGATTATCCAAACTGTTTACAGAGAAAAACTAGTTCAAGTTTATTTTGAAATGGACCTGCTAGCCAGAGTTGGCACTGAACCAAATTGGTCCAAGTTTTTTCGATTCCCAAATACCATAACACAACATATTTGTCAAGGAACAGCATGACTTTTGATATTGATATTCTATTTAATAGACAAATTAATTCCTCCAGGAAGTATCACCATCACAGGCCTCATCTATACATGGAATAAAGTGGACTCTAATAATATTAAAAATAAAAATAAAAATAAACAGTAACCCTAGTTCTAGGATTTCCTGGACTTATCACTCGGGACTAATTGCTCTATAGGCTTGATTAAAATTGGAAAAATGTAGTCACAGGACATATACATATATGTAAGAGACTCAATTTGACCTCATCAGAAGGGGCGGTAGGGTGGTGAGCTGGTTCGTGGTTTCCATCTTCTCCTTCTTCTTGTTGTTGTTGTTGTTCATCAATGGCTGATTCTGATTGTATCGACATGAATAAGCTGTGATTATGCGATGCAATTTGCCGTTTAGGATTGGTTGCGAAAGGTTAGCTAAGATGCTTCTGATTTTACACTTTCCCGCAATTTTCCCAATTTTTCAGTCTGTTTGGATGCTGAGAAGTGGAAAGAAAATGGAGAAAATATCAAATCAATGGTAAAATAGGGTTTCTTTTATACTAGCTAGCAAATCTCCCGGCAAAAAAAAATAATAATAAAATAACTCACAAAATTTAATACTATTTTTATAAATTTCATAACATTTTTAACTTTTCCATTTTTTATCACATCTTCCATATTAACAATTTCACTTGTTAATATTTGCTACATATATATAGAGAGAGAGAGAGATAAATATTTGAAGGCCCGAAATCAGTGGCTCGAAGCTTGAAACCCAAAATGACGTCGTTTTGGGCTTCAATTTTTTTTTTTTTTCTTTTTCTTCATTTTCTTTCTTTTCTTCTTCTTCTTCGTTTTGAACACAGGAGAAGAGAAACAGAAGCGAGAGAGAGAAACAGAGGCGAGAGGCGAGAGAGAGTCGTCGCAGCTCGTCGCTCGTCGTAGCTCGTCGGCCGATTGTCGCATCGCAGCCCCGCATCCGCCTCTGTCTCCAGCCCGATTTTGATGGCCCCTCTAGTTCTGTTTCTCCTTCTTCTTCTTCGTCTTCTTCTTCCTCCTCTTCTTCTTCTTCTTCTCCTTCTTCTTCCTCCTTCTTCCTTCTCAAATTCGAGCCAAATTCGAGCTAGGACTTTCAGGCTCTGTAGCATGATTCATATATATATGAAAAATACTAAATATATATAATTTTTACATAAAAGCATCATACAAAATGTTATGACAATGACATTAATACAATTATGACTCATAATTATGTGTTTTTTTATTTTAGATTAAAGGTTATAAATAATCACATTATTCTGTAAATAATTATTGTACTCAAATTCTATTTATATAGCATTACCCTATTATATATTTAACATCATAACTTTCACTATTTTACACTAGACAAATAGTTATTAAAAAAAAAAAATTATTAATATGTGCTCTTAGTTACCTTGGGAGGCTTAAAAAAAAGTTATATATTCCGCATTAATACTAATACAATAAATAATGTGTAATTTTTAAAGTCTCAACATATATTATAATGATACATGTTAATAAAAATTTAAAAAGATTATAAGCACTTTTATGAAAATTCATAAAAAAAATATTAAAGTTTCTTAACACATGCTCTAATATCACACGTTAGCATAATTATTTATAAATAAAATGTCAAAAAAAGATTAAAGTTAAAAGAAATTATATTTATACAAGTACAGTGATTTATTTATTAAAATTTTTTTGATGCAATTTATTTATTAAATTCGCCCAAATGAGTTTAGTCATCGTTTGTTTGAAATTTTTTTCCTCACCTCTCCCTTTTAAGGTGTATTTTATTTTCTATTAGTCTGTCTTAATTTTATTAAATTTATAACTTTAATCTATTCATTTATTGTTTGATAAAGTTGAAAATTAAAAATTGAATACTAAAAATTAGGATAAATTATAAATACACTTTCTAAGGTTTGCTTAAAGTACAGATTATCCCTTATAGTTTGAAAAAGTACAAATACCCTCTCATTAAAAAAATTTATTTAATAGAATTAACTTAAAAATAAATAAATTCATAATTATTCTCCTATACAATAATAAAATTACCTAAATTATTAATTCAAACATGTTTGTAACATCATTAAAAACTATTGATTGACTTGATAATTTATTAATAAAATGGTCGATTTGTTATGAAATTAGAAACCTCAGGGGTGGAATGTAATTTCCAGAACCACAAGAATCGATTTGTATTTTGATCAAATCTCAGGGGATGTATTTGTAATTTATCCTAAAAATTAAGTATTGAAAAATACTGAATTTTTTAAGCTGAAAAACTGTTTGATAAAAATTTGAGTGCTAAATTATAAATAAGTTATTTGATATGTATAAAATCAAATTTAAAATTTATTATTTTTAAATTATATATTTTAATTTTTATATTGTGATGGCGGTGGTAGTAGTGGTAGTGGTAGTGTTGATGGTAATGGCATGGTAGTGGTGGTAATAACAATAACGATAGTAAAGGTAGTAAATTATAGTCGTATTTATGGCAATAATGACAATGGTAATGAAGGTGGTAGTAGTAGTGGCGGCGGCGACGGTGGCATGGTGGTGGTAGCAGTAGTGATAGTGGTGGTGGTGGTGGTAGTAGTGGCGGCACGATGGTGGTGATGGTTGTAGTAGTGGCAGTGGCGGTAGTGGTGGTGATAGTATGATGGTGATGGTTGTAGTAGTAGTGGTAGTAGTGGCAGTGGCATGGTGGTAGTAGTGGCGGTGGTATGGTGGTGGGCATGATGGTGGTGGTAGTAGTGGTAGCGGTAGTGGTAATGAGTTTATAATTGTTTATATCAATATTTATGTTTAATATTTATAAATTCAGTCAGAATTAAGTAAATTTTATATGTTATCGTATAAGAGAACAGTTTGAAGTTTCATTTTTTTAAATAAAAAATTTTAACAGCGAAATATTTATAATTTTTCAAATTATATGAGGTAATTCGTATTGAAGCAAATCTCGATATATTTGTAATTTATTCCTAATTCTTTGTAGTTTTAAAAAGGGACTGTTACAAATTAGTTTTATGAACTCAACTTATTTATTAAAAACTCTTATTCTAACTTTCGATGATAAATTAATTATAATAAAAATATTTTTTTAAAATATAATTGAACTATTTATACTTTTTATGTCATATTTTAATATAAACTAACACAAATAAACTAAAATAAATTAAAATTCAAAAATAGAAGTCAAAATATTTTAATTATTTATCACTTTGATAAATTTATCAATATCATTACTATTCCACAAGCACAACGGGTGTGTTTGGTAACGTTTACGTTTTTAGTTTATATTTACAAAAATTTTATAAACTGGTTTTTGTTTTTTTTTTATTTATTTTTAGAAAAACATAAACTACAAACACGTTTGGTAATTGACAAAATGTTTAAAAAAATTTAAAAATATAAAAAAGAGTGAGAAATGGCAAGTGGTGGCAAGTGGCGGTGAAAAACGGTGGTGGAAAATGGTGGCAGGTGATAGGTGGTGGCAGCGGAAGAAGGTGGTGGGGGGTGGTAGTAATGGAAAATAGTGGTGGTAGATGGTGGCGAGTGGTAGCAGCGGAAGACGGTGGTGGAAAGTGGTGGCATGGTGACGGAAGACGGTGGTGGAAAGTGGTGGCAGGTGGTGGTGGCGGAAGATAATGGTGGAAAGTGATAGCAGGTGGTGGCAACGGAAGATGGTGATGGAAGGTGATGGCGGGTGGTAGTGGCGGAAGATGGTGGTGGCGGGTGGTGGCGAGTGGTGGCGGCGAAAGACGGTGGTGGTGGATGGTGACAGCAGAAGACGATGGTGGAGGGTGGTGGTGGCGAAAGACGGTGGTGAAAAATAGTAGCAGGTGGTGGGTGGTCAAAAAAAAAAACTGAAAACGTAAACTCAGGTGGGTGGAGGCGACAGAAGACTATGGTGGAGGGTGGTCGTGGGTGGTGGCGGCGGAAGACGGTGGTGGAAAATGGTGGCAAGTGGTGGCGAGTGATGGGTGGTCGAAAAAAAAAAAATCGAAAACTGAAAACGTAAACTCATTTTTTGAGTTTACAAATTTTGGCCAAATTTATAAACTGAGACCACTGGTTTATAAACCAAAATATTATCAAACAAGTTTTTATGACAGCTTTTAAAATTTTTGTAAGTATAAACTGAAAACGTAAGCGTTATCAAATGCCACCTTAGTATTTATAAATTTAGTTAGAATTAAATAACTTTTATATGACTTAAAATTTTCTTAAATTTTAGTCTACATTTTAAGAGATACTTAAATTTTTAAGTGATATCAATTATGATTATCAAATGAACTTAATTGATTATCACTTAATCAATTTAATTTTAAGTATTGAATCGTATTATCAGACACCATACATTTAGGTTTCATTTGAGAGTTGGCTAAAAAATATAGTTTATTGACTAAAAATTTAATGTTAAAAAAACACTAATTCTCCTAGCATATATTATATATTGGTGAGTAGCACACGCGATACGTGTGCAATTTAAATTAGTAAGAATAAAAATGAATAATAAAAAAAATAATATTATAATATGTAAGTTGTTTAAATGGTAAATGTGCTTGTAATGAAATTCATGATTCTTGGGTTCAAACCTTAGTTGCGCTATATAGTATAATAATTTTTTATTTTTAACATATAAAAATCTACCACGTGATATGAGGAAAAGGTTTGAAGGTTTAGATATCAAATCTAGTGTTCACATATATAATAAATAATAGTATAGATAGATAAATATTTTTCTCCTTCTTTATTGTCTTTTTAGAGTGGTTAAAATTAATTTTTTTTTTAGTATAAAACACGTGTTTTAACATAAGCAAATTTTGTAATTAATAAATTAGCTTATTTAGTGCCAAAATAAGTCTTATTATTTAAATATTGCAATCATTTTAAAATTTATATACAATACTGTATAAATAATACCAATTATTTAGAATTTAACAAACTTTAAAACTTATTAAGGCCTCGTTTAGGAACAGATTATTTTAATAATTTTTTAACTTTTTATAAAAAAATGTGTAAAAAAATAGATAGAGTAAAATAATAACTTATAATAATTTTTTTAATTTTTTAACTAAAATATATAATTAACAAACGAGGTCTAAATGAAATGAAAAGTTGCTACTTAATAAAAGGTTGAGTAAATATCATTTCCCCCCAAACTATGACGCGTTTTTCAAGTTGACCCCCATACTTCGATTTATTTCAATTTAGTACATGAATTTTCCAAAAATTGATCAATTAGACCCCTACCATCACCTTCCGTCTACAATTGGACAGAATGTGATGAGCTATCCCCCTGAAGTATCTTTTGAAGGGAATATAAGAGGGTATCCCGCCATATGCAACTTCTCAATTCTACTATATAACAAAGACAAATTCCCAAAACAAAAAACAAAAAACAAACAGAGCATAATAGAGCATCTTTCCGGTAGTGAGAGAGAATGAGGAATAGAAGGTTATGAAATCAAGGAAAATCGAGCTCAACTGAAGGAAGATG